TGCCAGCCTGGGCTGGTGTGGCACTGTCTGAGGAGAGGGGGTGTGCTAAAGCATACACGGCCCAGGGTGGATGCACAGAGTTCTCTCTGTCTCCTTGGTTACGTTTTTTTGTGTATGTATAGCTGCCTTGGCGCTAATGGCACGTTTATCCTAAAAATCTATAGTATAGAAAAGACTTAAAACATAATCGTGTCACTTACGGTACTCCTATTACTTCCTTTACACAAGAATTTAAAAGCTAACAAAAACTTACGTAGATGTATCAAAGAGAAGTCTTTTTATGAATGTAGAAATATGTGTAATTCCTAAGTCTGAGAACTGTGGTTACGTATGTTTTCTTCTGCTGAGCGTCTCACGTAGCTGGCTGGTGGCTGTGCCTGGTGTTCTTTTAGGAGGAAAGAAGAAAGAGCCTTTTTTTCAAAGTTGCATTGTACATACTGAAGATTTAACTTCAAGTTATATCTCTAGTTAACTAGGCTGGCAGAAGATTTCTGGCAAAAAAGAAAGAGAAGTATATGTGCCTTACATTGGTTTTCTTGGCTGTTTACAAATTTATTTATTAATTGAGGCATAAATTATTGTGGATCATAGAAGTTGGCTTCTGTGGGTTGTTTGCCAGCATAAGAACTTAAGACTTGTTTGAAAGCCTTCAGGGAATGCAAGCCCTGTGTTAAATATGTTATTGAAAGTATTGGTGGGAAGATTATGTCTGCCTAGAGCTTACCTTTTTCTTAAGTGTAAGTTTGAAATCTGTTGTAAGATGTGAGGAGTTTGTTGATGTTTTAACTTTTGTTTTTGCCTAATTTCAGGGAAAGCTCAGGCAGAAGGTGGATCAGCTCGGATGTCACTTCTTATTTTAATGTCTGTCTTCCTGTCAGCTGCTTTCCTTATGTTCCTGGTATATAAAAATTTCCCACAACTTAGTGAGTAAGTATGTCAGGACACATTCATTTATTTGCTTTTCAGTCATTGTCAAATAGTAGAGGAGCCTACATGAGGTTAAGTGATTTTTAAACTGTCAGGAATTAATTATAGACATAACTTTATTTTTTTAAAAGGAAGTTTGAGTTTACAACCTATGTCAGAATACACAGCTTAATATTGAAATACTAACCGGTAGGATCTGTGTAAACAGAGTTGTAGTTGACCAAGGGTTTCTGTTGGGCAGTTGAGGTACTACCATGTTTTGAGAAATTACCCGGTCACATTAGCAGTGGTAACTCAGTATCTTCTTAACCTTTTTCAGTTAAGAGCCAAAGCATGCTTGGTTAGGGCTAGGTTTATTTTAAAATTCCTTTTGCACTGGTTTAACCGCAGGCTGTCATCAAAAGGGGGCATCCTTCTTCCTTCATAGCCAAGCTTCACATTCCCTTCTTCTCCGTTTTGTTGCATCTGGTACTCATGGTGGGAAGGTAGATAGTTTGACAAGATGGAAATCTGCTTGTCTGACAATTGTCTTTTTTTCTTTTAGTAATTAATTTTCTATCTGATTAACTTGCTCAACAAGTTCAGTTTGCAACAGTCCAATCACTAAGTCTGATACAGAGGAAGAGAGGACACTCAGCTGTGCTGCCCAGGGTTGCACCAAATTAAGGTGTGACGTGAGATTTTGCTCTTAAAGCTTTGTTTGTTTGTGAGATAAAACTCTACCGCTCTTGCTGCACTTCAAATGTTATAACCCTAGTGCTGAGGCAGTTACAGTTGGTTTTGGCTGAAATGTTGACTGCTATTCACTTGCCAAGGTTTGGCTTGAGTAATTTGTTGGGGTTTTTTTTGATCAGTACTTGGTAAGAAGAAAAAATAAGCCTAGAAATGAAGCAGGTTATTGTAATGAATAAAAATACATGGTTGGCAAATACCTGAAATTGAGGATTTTGAAAAAACAAAGCACACTGTAAATATTGTTTATCTGAGAACATTATCGCAACAATAATGATGTGGTTTGTTTGCTGATGTTGTAGTTTAGCAATGTAGTTTAGTAATGTAATTATATATTCAGTAAGTAATCTTATTGTTTGATTATATTTACCACCATTCATTCTTTTTTCTTGTTTTTATTTTTTCTTTATTTCCAGAGAAGAAAGAGAATGTATAAAAGTTCCTAGAGATATGGATGATGCAAAAGCCTTGGGAAAAGTCCTGTCCAAGTATAAGGACACATTTTATGTTCAAGTATTAGTGGCTTATTTTGCCACATACGTTTTGTATCCTTTTTCTGATATAAAAAGCTGTTTCGATGTATTCATATTTGTCTTTATAAGTTTATATTTTCCTCTTCTTTTTTGTTTTTTTTTATCATGGATGAAGGAGGCTAACATACATAAGTGTTCTAGAATATTCGTGTATTTATAATCTTAAAAATTTCTTGGGTGCTTCAGTATGCTTTTTGGACTGTAAGAAAGGATCAAGTAGAAGGAAATTGATGCACACATGTATAGTAGTAAATGCTGTTGAGGATTTGCATGCAGCTTCACCTTGGCTATGTCTGTTACATGTAAGGGGTTTAGCTTTGGTGTTAGATTTGGTCTCCTTTGAGTGTTGCTCTAACTTAACTGCAAACTGAATTGCCAGTTAGAAAATACCATTGATTCTAAAGAAAGACTACTGCACTGTTCTTTCTTGAGACATTGAAAAGTGCCACATAAAATATTCTGAAATTACACTTAGAGCATTTTTTAAGGAAAGCATTTTGAACCTTTCATCTGTGCAGCACCTCTGTTCAAAAAACAAATCTGAGAGTGCTGAATTTCTGAAATAGTTTCTTCCTAGGGTGACACAAAGGCTACTTGTGTTCTGTGTTAACTTCTTTTTCCTGAGTGTTGAATATATTAATTAATCATTAAACAAGCTCTTAACAGGAGTGCTTGACTAAAGGTTAATAACTTTTAGAAGCTGTATAAGAGGTCTGCTTCATAGTTTAATGCACGAGTATTTGTAATTTGGAGAAAAATCATCACTGAATGTGCCATTAGTAATTATCGTCTAGCTCATTCTTATGAAGCGTACTTCACAAATAATAGATTTATGAAGAAAATTTAAAGAGTTTACACACTCTAGAACAGAATTGACTCTTGAACTACTGTAGCGGCTGATTTGATGACGTTTACTGTCTCGGCAGTAGACTGTTGCAGTTATCTTGGAACCTTCACATTTGCTCAGAAAAGCTGTGCTGGTGGTAATGGACTTAGTACAAAGGAAGATTACTTGTTTTTTTTGATACTTCTGTCAATTCAACTTGAATAAAATAGAGTGCGAGTTTTATTTTGCTTTAAGATTTTTATCCAAAGTAGCAGTACATCATAGTCTTAAGGAAGCCTAACAAGCCTTAAGCTCAACAGCCTGTTCACTCACACTGCAGAAACTTGAATTTTGACTCTGAAAAATTCTGACTGAAATTAGGGGTCATCTATCCTACTGTGATTGCAGCATGCCTATTTCTAAGAAAGTAGTTGCGTTCGTACATGTCAGTATTCCATGAAACTCATAGTAGTTATGGAGAGAATATCTGAAATCTGCTTATCTCTAGTCAACAATGGCAAATCACAAGTATGTGTTTCCTGGAATGTCACAGTAAGTCCCCAGAGTCAATTGTAGCACAGGTAAAGAGAAAAAGATAATACAACTTTAGTGACTTATTTTTGTGTGGGTAATGATGAATCTACCCTTTGTTTCTCTGTGCTTGGGCTTCTTGTGATACTCTGCAAATGTATTTTCAAGTAAAGATCTTTAGAGGCTATGCCTATTAATATTGATGCTTTTTCAAGTTATAATCTGTATCCTGACTGCTTATAAAATTCAGATTTGGTAGCTTTTAATTTTGTTTTTTTCCCTTAACTAAGATGCATCCAGCTTGCAGACATTTGCTATTCCTGGGTCTATATTTCTCAGTATCCTGTCTGGGTTTCTTTATCCCTTTCCACTGGCCTTATTTCTTGTTTGTCTGGTAAGTATTGAAAGTAGCTTCTGAGTGCCTATATTTTTCTCTATTTGGAATACAGCAAAGCATCTGAATAGCTTCCTGCTTGCAATGATCAGAGTCTGAGTGAAGCAGGGCTATACTTCAGTTTCTGACTAAGTTCACTGTAGCATTGAGTGATGATTCAACAGGTTAAACAGTTTCTCCAGGTTTTCTTAATGTAGGCAGCTGAGTGTGAATCAGCTGGTTTTCTTTATTTGAGATTTGTCTAGCATCCACCAGAACCTGATTGTACTTTCACATCACTATTACTGCATTTTTATTGTTGCACTGCAAAGCACATCTGGTTTTCAATACCTGAAATACCCAAGACATTTATGAAATGTATTTTATTAACAAGCTTCAAAAATTGTCATGTACAAAAGATAAAATCATAATGAGCCTTAGCATCTGAAGATAATCGAGTACGTATGGAGGATCAAGTCAATACCTTCTCAAGTTCTAATCTCTTTAATGCCAGTTTGCCCCTTATTTGCAAAGCGTTCACTGTTCAAAATCTTAAAATAGAACTGTGGAAGTACTCTATTGACTGATAAGTAATCAACATTGTCTACTTTGAATGTTAAAATTGATCTAAATGCCTTGGAAATAAAGGAACTGCCTTGGATCAGCAATGTTCTTCGTGTGTACGTACTGCTAATGGAGCCCTTCAGCCCCAATGGAGGGCTGCATAGAAGTAGGTTCTATCTAGCCAGTGTAGTTGATAGGGATATAAGGCTAAGATTAGAGTTTTGGCTCTTTTGTTCATTGTTGGGTTTTTTGTTTGTTTGGTTTTTTCAGTGCTCAGGACTTGGAGCTTCATTCTGCTATATGCTTTCATACCTGGTGGGACGTCCTGTTGTATACAGATATTTTACAGAAAAAGCAGTAAAGTGGTCAGAACAGGTAAAGTTTCTAGAGAGGCTGTGAAATTTTCTTTTTTTTAAGTATGAAGCACAACTAACTATTCAAGATATTTGAATCACATTGAAGTATTTTAAACTTTTTCCTTGTTAGGTAACATGTGGAGCTGTCCTGCACAACTAACCTTATTAAATAATACAGCAGGATTTTGATTCTTGGCCCAAGTTAATCTTAATATGACAGTATAATCATGAGGCTATTCTCTGAGCAACAAGTGGTTACTATTTCCATTAGCAGAACTGGATATGTGATTTAAAGTTAGGTAATTACTTGTGCAGCTCATATCTTACTGGAAACCCAGGTTAATTGGAGTATATCATGCTTGTATTTTGAGGGCTGAGGCATTTTATATACAAGGTTAATCAGTGCTTAAATGTTTAAGTATTTGTCTTTCACTGAGATTAAAAAGCCCACAGTGATATTACTGAACAATAGCAGGGCTACTGACTTTTGGGTTGCAGTTAAAGCTAAAGTTGGGGCAGGAGTGAAAACAGAGTTGTGACTGGGGTGAGTTGCTACATGACATTTCAGATGGAATTGCAATCAAACGGGTTTGATTTCATCTGGGTGCAGATGACCATGTTTAGGCTTAGTGAAGGTCTGCTTTGATAGATCAGAAGCGCTGGTTTGAGGTTACGGTTCTTGTTTGAAAGGGCTCATGTGCTAAACCCAGGTTGGAAGGAGGCTTTGATGTAGTGCTAGTGTAAGAAGCTGGGCTAGAATTCGGAATGTAATTAAAAATGTAAATAAGGTTAGGGCTATCATGTTTGCTTCTGGGTAAATGCTAATGCTAGGCATTCTGACGTGTGGGGTAGGTTTTGTAACTGCTGGCAGCAGCCACTTGATGAACTTCAGAGCCGTGACCTGGTTAAGTTTCCGGGTGAGGAATACAGCTGCATTTCAGGCTTGATCAGGAGTTAGGACAGAATGAGTTGAGGAGCAAGCTTCATTGCCAGTTCCTGCAAAAGCTTTAGGGTCAGGATGACAAGCTGGCAGTGTTGTTTGGGCTGCAGTTAGGCAGAGGTTGCTGTGCTAAAGTTAGGGTTAGTCCTGCTGCTGGGCTGAGTTACTTGTTGGCTAAGTTGGCCGATTCGGACACATCAGCACTGTGCTCTACTACGGACTGGTATTTCCAGACTAACTTCGGACCAGTGATTTACTGATGACTCAAGAGTCAAGAGTTGTTTAGCTGATTTTTATGTTTGGAACTTGTTAAACTTTTACAAAAGACAAAAAAACCCACCACCACCACCAAAACAACTACCTCTAGTAGTACAATCATTTTCAGGGCAGGAATTTTTTACTGAATTTTATTTTGTCTTGGCAGGTTGAACGACAAAGAGAACACCTCATTAACTACATAATATTTCTGCGAATAACACCTTTCCTTCCCAATTGGTTTATCAACATAACATCTCCTGTAGTTAATGTGCCATTAAAAGTATTTTTCATTGGCACTTTTCTAGGTAAGAATCCTGGGTAGGGAACTGCAGTTTGGGGGTGGCCGGAAGAAGGGGTATTAGTGGCTTCTCTCTTTATGCGATGTTCGGCAGAGATCACCACCTGCTGTACGGCTGGAAGATTGCACACGAATGTTGGTTTTGTGCTTTTCGATGCGTGTGTGGATCTTGAATCGTAAAAAGATTTTGCTAGGCAGGACTATTCTGATGTGCTGTGTTAGAGGTAGTGAGCTCAGGTTAACTACTTAATTAAGGAAACATGCATTTTATGAACACTTCATTAGTAATTTTTTGTTCCACTCTGTGATTATAATACTTCTCTGAACTTCTTACAAGCTCCTGTTTTGACTTCAGCATAGCTGTGTGAAGACTGATCTAAAGGATTGTTTCTGCCCTTCCCACTCCATTTTGCTAATCATAGATCATAGAATCATAGACTGGCCTAGGCTGGAAGGGACCTTAGAGATCATCCAGTCCAACCTCCCTGTCATGGGCAGGGACGTCGCTAGACCAGGCAATGCATGGGGACCGAGCGGTAATCGGTGTTGATCCTTGTTGCCAGCACCGCGCTCAAACCACTGAGATATCTTCCTAGGAGTGAATTCATAATTTATCTACGCTAAACACTTTTTGGTTTTGTAATAGGCGTGTTTTTGCAAATAGCTTTTAATCTGGTTAGGAACTAATCTATATTTTTCCTTTATGAACTTAAATAAAATCTGTTTGTAGAGAGACAATTTGAAATACGCACAATCTAAGGAGTAAAGATTATTTTCTTAGTCTTCTGTGTTTGAGTCTATGTTAAAAATATGGAAAATAGTATAAAACCAGTTCTTTTTGATAAGGGTTTTTTTGGTCTTTGAATTTTGTGTTTACACTGCTCTTAAAAAAAAAAAAAGCACAAGGCAAAAAAATGCAAAACTTCTGGTGCTAACAGTTGGGTGCCTAATTTATGAATTTTTTTCCCCATTTTTTTCACCCTAACAAGCTGCTTTTTTCTTCTTTTGCCCTCCTACCCTTCTAATTCCCTGCTCCAGGTGTGGCACCACCGTCTTTTGTAGCCATTAAGGCAGGAACAACGCTATACCAACTTACAACAGCAGGGGAAGCTGTTTCCTGGAACTCTGTTTTTGTTCTCATGGTTCTAGCCATCCTCTCCATCCTACCAGCTGTCTTCCAGAAAAAACTGAAACAGAAGTTTGAATAAGGATCAGACTGGACCAGAATTTCCCATACTTCATCTCAGGATCAGCACTTCTGATACTTGTATATTTGCTTTTCTATTGGATCTTAAGCAATTGAAGGGGAGGCTTGTAATTGATAATAGTGTCTTTAAATGAACGTGTGACCTAAAATTGAAGGAACTGCATTCAGAAATGTATTGCGTCTAGTTTTGTAACCAAACCATCAGTGTTTTCTTTGGGAGGGTGTGTGTGGCCCTCAGGATGAGGGAAGTGAAAACACAGATGTAACATTTTGCTCTGATTGTATGCAGAGCAAAAATTGTAATGTAGACATAAACTACACATTATGCTTTCTCAAACATACAGGAAAAAAACACCCTTTAATTACTCAGTCTAGTTTTCTAACATTCTCTGTAAGCTCGCATGTGATGTGCTCTGAGTACGTTTCTCATCAACGATATTTCTTTTTTTTTTTTTTTTTTTTTTTGCCTTTGGGAGTTCCAAAATCATAGCATAATATAATAACGGTGCTCACTCCGAAACAAAGGTTTTTTGCAGTACCTTAAATACAATGTATTATCATTCTGATTGTTTACTTTTATTTATTAGTGCTGTGTGGATTTAAATACTTGAACCTACATCTGCTTTACTAACTGGATTAACAAAGACAAAGTGTCACATCATTCCCTCTGTAAAGTTTTATTCTGGGAGAGGATATAGGAATGGAGAGAGCAGGTTAGAAGTTTTATTGTGGCTGACTGATGATTTAGAAGTTTTAATTTTAATTTTTTAATATTGATTATTTTGCCAATATTTCACTTGCACAGATTTATCCTACCAATTTACGAAAACGATTGTATGATTATATAAAACTTTCAGTTCTCAAGTGGTCTTAAAAATATTTAATTTTAAGCAGTGTAATATTACCATTTCTCAAGCAATATGTAGAGTATAAAATTTTTCCATTTCAGCTTGATTAGGTGGAAGAATGACATGTCAGGTACACAGATTGGTGCAGTTCTTATTAAAGAGCTGATTGCAAATAATGTTCAAAGCATCACGTAACAGAAGGCTCTTGTGTCAGTGTATACAAAACTGAAAGAATCATTCCATTGTCTGGTCAGTCGGTAACTGGCAATGGGCAACCAGCTATGATTCACTGTTACGTACAAGTTATACATATATTCGCTCAGTGGGGTATATGATACCTCCCCTTGTATGCTTGTAACTGTTCTTGTTTGTTCGTTGTCAGTGGAATCCCATAAAATGAGGTCCTGATCAGCAAGGAGCTGGGCTGCACGTTTCAGTGTTCTCTCTCCTGCTGA